TTTCGACTGTCCAATTATATCACTATAGTCCTTGCAAGTGCTTTTAAACCTAAGGGAATTCCAATGTCTTCCAGAGTTGGATGAGGGATAGCATATGTCTTTATATTTTTGTCTTTCCAAATGTAGGAGGAGGATGCCTCTGACAATTGCTTTTGAGCTACAGTAAAGCTAGTTCTCCAGTCATGTTCTTAGGAAAATCTTCTGTGAAAGCAAGTATTTATAGCACATACCTGTAGGGATTTCTGCATGCTGATACAAGTCCTTCCCTGATAGTCAGCCCTTCCCATAATGGAGAGTAAACTTTCCAAATGTGCTTAAAGAAAAGAGCCTTGAATGGGGCTTGGTCCCTGCATAGCTGTAGGAAACATGAGCTGCAATACAAACAATTCTATAAGAAAAACGACTGCTGGGGAAAACTTGAATTTGTTGCAGCTAAGTGCGTGGCACAAAACTTCTTTCAACATCATACAAGCCTATCAATAGAGGAACTGGAAAAGACAAGACATTTTGGCTTCTTAGAAAGAGGTAGTAAATTATGCTGTGTTTTTTCAGGCTAACTCAAAAGTTGCTGTGAAAGGTATTCTGTGAAAATGTTGCAACAAAGATAGAGTTGCTTTGAAAGCTGGCTCTTGGGTGAAACAAGCTGAGGCATCCAGAGCACCCACTTCAGCACCTAAAGTGAGATTTGAGGGGAATTTAGGTCCTAACCTCAAAAAAAACAACAACAACAAAAAACAACCTGAATCCCTCACTCCCAGCTCCTACTTATGCACCTAAAATTCTTTGCTTTAAGCATTGAGTCCCCCCCAGTGGAGGCATCACCTTTGATTCAAAATGAAAGCTGATAATTTGAAGGCTGTTCTGGTACGTGACCTTTCCTGTAGTTAATTGCATAACCTCAACTCTCTTCAGAACACCTGTGTGAATTAGCACTTTTATATGTTTTTGTTTAAAATGTAATGTTGAATCACATTAGTGGCTTACATTTTTACTATAAAGCTTCCAGACTCAAATCTTTTGCTGGCATGTTTGCCTCTGGCAAACAAAGACACCCAAAGTGACAAGTTCAAGGTGTTGCTCTCTGAAGAACCCGCTGTAATAAGTTCTGAACAAGACAAGGGACTGTGATTTGTGCTGGTTTTCCATTTTCCCTCTGCGTGCCCCTATGCAGATGTTACTTGGCAGGACATACCTTGAAAACCTGCCACCTGCTCTTGGTTGTGGTTGCTGAGAAACACAATTCTGAATATTAAAAGATCCGGTCACCACCAAAGACTTCCAGCTGTTCTGATTCGGGCACCTCTGGCGGTTCTGGTCAGTGCAGTGTCAAATTTTCCCCAAAGAAAAGAGCTCAGCTGTGTGAAGAGCACAGCAGAACTGGTGGAGAGCTCAGGATCCTGGTGCCCAGCTCATGGGTGAGCATCCATGTTAGGGATGGCAGTTTGAAGCAGGGATTCCTTGGCCTTCTGTACGTGTAGACCCTGCAGATCACACACCAACTCAACACTGGTGCACTCTGACATACAGCAGTGGGTGAATATGAGCCCTGCTATGCTCAAGCAGAACTGGATCTGTGGGAGATCACATCCCCCAGTGCGGCCAGGGGAAGGTTTTGCACTTGCTGACATGTCTGCTGGGGACATTCCTCGTGAGTCTGCGCACCTGCTGCCAGGAGTTCTCTGTTCCCTTTCCTTCAGGCCCCACTTGCTTGTGCAGTCGGATCTCCGTGCTGGCCGCGCTCCCAGCCGTCCCTGAGCGCCTGCATGGGCACCTGCTCCCTGCCGCCTTCCCTTCCTCCTGCCTGCGGACGCCTCATCCTTTCCCTGCCTCCGCGGGCTGCTTCCCCTCATTTCTCTTGCTCCAGAGCTTCGCGCCTTGCTCCAAGCCCTGCCTCCACCCAGAATGTCAGCCCTTCTTTTTACAGCCAGGCTGAATGGGTGCTGACATTGCTACTGACTCCTACACCTCTCCCTGCTCTTCCTTTACCCTCTAGCCTTCTTCACCCTTCCTGCTCTGTTCTCATTGCCTTGGGGCAGAGCAACAATATGTAATATGTATCTGCCTTGCCCTTCGAAATGTGATCTTGAATAACTCGTGATCGAGGCCTCTGGGTTTTGGGGTTCCCCACTTGGGATCTATGTGGGGAAAAGGGGTTTGGTCTCAAATACAGAATCTCCTGTTTTTACACTGATGCTTAACACACAGACTTCAGTAGACCCTGAAATATCTGCTTTCTTACATATATATGCAAAGTATATGAAAGGTATATATATATTTGATTTGAATCAAAGGAATATAAAACCTTTCTTTAGAAGGGACTTTGGAGGGTTGAGTATAGAAAAATAATTATTCATTAACAATGTGTGAATTTAAATAACGTGGCCTGTGGTACAGTCTATCTGAAATCCTATCTGTGGGTGTTGAAATAATACGCATCCTTTTCTGCAAGCTATGTCCCTGGAGGACAGATTGAGAGAAATTTGGATTTGAAGCATTTAGTGTTTCTGCTCTTCTGTGTGGATTTTTCCACTGTTACAGGAAAATGAGGCCCTGGATGTATGGCCTAAATTATCTCACAGTGACCCTAATGAAAACAATAGCAGTCAGTGCTGCCATTTTGTCCTGCCCTCTTGCCAACATTAATCCTAAAGGCATTATTATCTACCAAGAAAGAACATCATAAAAATGGAAAATAACCAGATGACAGAAGGAAAGATAAGAAAAACAGAAAGGGCAAAGTCCTAAAAGAGCAGTTGTCAAATTGCTGGACTGAAGAGCACATATGGCCCTTGGAGAAATAATGGGACAAAAAAGTGTTGGCCATCTTCATTTCCAGCTGTGAAATTACGTAGAAAGAAGTGAAATTCAGGGAACATGTTCCGGATACTTCCCAGGTCAGAACTTGCTGTTGTTTTGGTAGGGATTGTACAATGTGGTGATGGGGAAGGGAGAAGACCCTGCCCCTCAAGAGCAGGTAGGGAAGTGTTGGAGATGCAATTTCTCTGATTTATCAAAATGTTTTTGTTCTGAAGGAATGAACTTTCTTTAACACCTTTTACCTCACCGCCAGTGAGTATAAGGGTGTAAAGAGATTCAGAAGTGCTCCAGGAAGCCATCTTAGAACTATTTGGGTACATAGTAACTGCACAAGATGGGGCTAAAAAGGATTATCTCTGCCACATCCCACTAAAACAGTTGCTTGACAGTCAGCAGTGCCTCTTAGTAAATGTTTTTTGCTTTGTTATCACTTTCTGAGTCTGAAAGCAGTTACTGTCATGTTAATACAAGCCGAAGAACTGTGCTGAAGCATCAGATCTGCCCAGCTCTCACTTCAGCATTTAATAGTGACCTGATTACTGTTTCAGTAAACATCATGATGTTCTCTAGAAGCTCTTGCCATTTTTTATACCTTCCTGGGGGCTGACCTGTTTGATAAAATGTGTAATTCCTTCCAGAAATCCCTTTGGATTGGGTGTTCAGGCCCAGGGGCAGTAGAATCACTTTAATGTTGTTGCAGAGATTACACCATTTTCTTTCTAATACAATACTGAGATATTAACAGCAATGCATCCTAGAATTTATAAAGAAATTGAGCTTAATAGCAATTGATTTTAATAGCAACATACAGGACAAACTCTCCTCGCAGACCTATAGCAGAGGTGAAGCAGACAGCAGTGGGAATTGCATGTGTTTGCTTGAAGGAAGCATTTGAAACTATCTCTGAATTGGTGTGTGAGTAGGTCCCAACAGATGCTATTTATTCATAAACATTTCTAACTAGAGCATTTCAGTTAAAGTATATGCATAACCCATTTTTATTAAATAATGCCGAACACTAGATGAATTGGTGGTAGGCTGCAGTTTGAAAGTTCTTAATGCACCTTCTGTTCCTGACTCAGGTCTAGAATTCAATAAATGCTTTTTTATGTCTGACCCAGTATTCTGAGCAGCGATGATTTTACAGCCCAGGATATTTGCTCTTCTGAGGTTACAGACCACCCATGGCTTGTGTTTTATTTATTTATTTTTTATATTTTTTTTCTTCTAATTTAAAAGCAGAAAATTTAGCTAATTAAACAAACCTCTCTGCTGTGTTAACTACATGGCAGCATTGTTCGCTAGGTAGAGGTGTGGGTTTTATCCTTTCCACAGCCGTTTTCACAACACTGAGAATGAACAGGAGGAAAAGGGAACTGGAGCCTGATTTGCCTCTGAAGTTATCTCAGTGAAAGAATGTGTGGAGAGTCACAGCTACATAGATTAATCAGATAGCGAGATGCTATTGCTTATTAAAAAGGGCAAGTCTGTTACTTTTAACATTTTCAGCCCTTCTAAATGAGAAATGACCAGCATAAGAGCAACCGTTTGCCAGCCAACAGTTAACTACAAAAGCTACGTGGGAGGTAGCTGTGCTCATAAAGTTTATCATCTCATCCATAACATCCGTGCCAGACTCTTCCCTATGAGTATTCCTTACGTCAGCTTTTTAATTAGGGTTGTACACCAGCTAAGATAAGAGTTAGGAGAAGCAACCAATTCAGCAATGTCACTGAGAGAGACTTTAAAAGTGCAACACATTCAGCAGCCTATGTCCCACTTGTCTTTTTCAGGCAAGA